GCCATTATTTCTTACGCGAAATTTAAATGCAGAATATTATTTGGAACTACTCGAAAATCATATTTTACCTGCTTTACATGATGCCGTTAGGGAAAATCAGGAAGTTTGGTACCAAATGGATGGCTACCCGGCACATAGTACCTTGGCTGTTCGGGAATATTTAGACAATAGTTTTAACGGAAACGTTATTGGCCTAAATCATACAGTAAATTGGCCAGCAAGGTCTCCTGATATTTCGCCAAATGATTTCTTTCTCTGGGGCCATTTAAAAAACAGGATATACAAGGATAAAAAATACCCAAATCTAGACGAGTCAAAAAAATGCTATTTCTGCAGAATGCAATAGAATTTCAGTTTACCAACTAGCGAATGTAAGAAGAGAATTTTATGATCGCCTGGATTATTGTCTAGCAGTCGATGGAGGAATATTTGAACATCTTCTTAAATCCTAAAGTTCTAACAATCTAATAGTACCTAAATTAATAAGTTATTGAATATTGTAATAATACTATAATTAACCTTGTAATTGGTTACTTTATTTTACTTTAATTCATATTAATTTGTATTTATAAATACATCTTTAAGATTTCCGATGTAGGAATGAGTTTTCAATAATAGTAAAGCACTAAATAGGTAAATTTCTGAAATGACAACTTCATTTGACAGTTATCTTTTACCTTGACTGGTGCTCATAAGTAAATACAGGGCCATAAGAAAGGAGAAATATTTAAAAAGAAATCGGCGATAACTCGTAAACGAGCTAATCAAAAATATCTAAATTCTTTTGAATGTGGGTTTTAGTGCTCTTCAATAAACTTAGAATTATTCTCTAAAATAATCAGGGAAGCCAATAATTGACCCCATTAAAATTTACATGGGATTTCCTATGTCCCGTCCGACGATGCAACACCCGGTATATCTCCAATATATTGAAGCTTTAATAATATTACCTTTTATCCATTCAGATCAATCATAAAACATCATAAGACAACACCTTGTTGAGAAACAAGCACCATTAATTTAATGCTCACCTATTTTACTGACCTGATATTTCAAAAATTATTTGGAAATTAACCAGGGTGGTTTCTTATGACATCCCATAATTTTAATACAATGTTGGCCTTATTAAATTCACATTAAGACAACTGTTTCCATTTACTCACACTTAATTGTTTCAATTAAACTGAATAATTAAATCTTTAATTGTCGATAAATCTATTATTGAGGCTTGCCAGGATGTCCACCCTAAGAAAAGAACGATTTCCCATATTATGGAAGTGTAAACTAGTTCAGATAGCCATCTTAATTCGATCGGTAAATCTCGATTAATTAAGTTGTTAAACAGCCTGCTTAATTCTGTTAATGCTGCCTGTTTTTACGGCGTCTTAAAGCGTCAAAACTGTGATTATTTTCGTTCGAGTAATTAAAATCTATCGCGTTACAATTAAGCGTGAACTAAGTCAATTAGTTCGCAGTGGAGTTGCTATATAAGGTAGGCGTTTTGTCGTCTGTTGACTTTTAAAACCCGTTGTTTCGTTTTAGTTGAGCGATAAAAGGAAATTGGCAGCTCTCTAGCGTACGCCGCGCCGTAGTAAAATAGGAGTAAATTTTGTTTTACAGTTCGAATTAACAAATAAAATGCAGCTCGTTTAAGGTTAATTGAAATAAAACGTATAAAACAGAAGTAATTTTTGACATAGATTTTTGTGGAAAAGATCAAGAAGACCATGTTAAAAGAATGGACCACGATAGAATAGCAAAATGGGCGCGAACACAAATACCCAACACACCCAGACACCATGGCAGGCCACCAAAAAGATGGTACAAAAGTTGGACATCTGGTTCACAACAGGCTTAAATAGATGTATTATACAGGGGTGACCCTATGGCAAGAAGAAAAACGAGTATAAAACAGAAGTAATTTTTTTATTTTTTAACTCACCCTCAAAAAATTTGCGAATATTTCCGCATAGAGAAAGAAACGTTCAAGTACATTTTAAACATAGTAAAATATAATAATGTATAATTTCAAGTACATTTTAAAGATAGTAATACATAGAAATGTATAATTTCACAAAACGGTGAAAACCTTTTAAAAAAAATTGTGTGTGCATTATGTGCGCATATTTGAAGTCAAACTTCTTACTTCCGTCTGCTCCTCTGTCAGTCTGTCCGTCTGAGGATCCCATTCCGGGTACGTCGATCCACGTGCCGAGTTTGGTTCCAATAGACCCATAATTAAGAAAAATCCTGATAATTTCATTTACAGACGTTCGAAACATCGATGGCGTCATCCTGTAGCCCGTCCCCAATTATGCCGAAATCGACCCACATTTTTCTTCAGTATCAAATCTTTGTAAACGTTATGAACCGTCGCTCATATAGCCTCACCACCAAATTTAGTCGTGATCGGACGACGTCAACTTTTGACGTTTCTTAAGTCAAAATTAACTGTCACAGTGACACGTGTCGTATACGGTCAAGTTGTCCATGGTCCTATCTATAGACATACCAAATTTCATTTAACTCGGACGATTTTTTTTAATTTGATTAATTGATGATAGGGTTTGGTAGTGCACGAAACGTCGTCAAAATATCACGATAAGATGGGGCTCTTCGAGCCACATCTACATTACAAGTTTCATGCCCCTAGCTCACATAGGGCCAGAGTTATGACGCTCCAAGATCGCTTTTCATCATTTTCCATAGGTTTGTTCCAACCAGTATTTTGGGATCGTTTCGAAATCGTATTCGAATCGGTTTTCTTGCACTTTGTTAGCATGCGCGGACTTCGAATAGTTTCGTGACGGTGCAAAGAGTTTCAACGTTGGAACGCTTTATGGATCGTTTTCGGGACTGTCAAAAGTGTCAAGCGTGCGTGTATCGATCGTTTTTTTGTTTTTGTTTAGAATTTCATAACATAACCCTATTATTTTTGTTTGCAATTTGCAATAATAATAATTATTGTTCTTGAAATGGAGAATCAGAATCCAATAATTGTTGGTAAGTGTTGTTTTAACTGTATAATCACTAAATCACTTGTGCCTATCCTCTCTTTTATGATCCTGTTATGAGTTTCTTGTTATTTCATTGCAGTGGTAGAATCTTTGAGCATTATTTTATAAATAAAAAATTAATTAAAATTTCCGAACGATTTACTCCACACAAACTCACAAACAAAAGTATAACGCACACGTATTTGTATTCGTAAAAATAACCAAGACAGAAGCATCAGCCGGACGCCGGACCAGAATCAGCTGTTAAAAATCGATAATCCCTGCCAATATGCTCTAATGCGCAAGTCAACCCAAACAGTTCTCAATTTGGACCATGTACCGAAAATACCGTTTTGAAATCGTAACTAACCGATCCCAAGGTAGGTTGATACGCAAATAGGATCGTCCGATAACCGTTAAATCTCGGTTGGGACACATTTGAATTACTGCGCACGAGCGTGATCATTCGGTGACGGTTCTGCGGCGGGTTGGAACAAACATCATCATATTTGTGACGCTTGGCGACCTTGGAGTTACGCTTCGCGTGGTGCTAGCTCGTGTGTCGCGGCCTTCAGTTTTTACTCCCATCGCGCGTAAAGAAGTTTCACTTCAAAAACAATGGTACAACTTTAAAAATATTGTACACAAGGTGTTATGATTAAAATCATTAACTTAAAATTTTGAGCGAGTGTGGTCTCAAAAGGAGTAGTTGGACCAATTTTGTTGAGCGGGTGAGGCGGTAAGCGACAAAAAGAAACAATAATTTATACCGGTGAACGCGGATAAAAGCAAATTAAGCCTCTAGAAGCAGACTGACTGGCGCACTATGACCTCGCGCATACAGTTGTTCCCCTAGCGGGAAGCCTGTGCACTATGGACGTACCCTGAGAAGGCAAAACTTGTTGATGCTCCTAGCTTCTTAAAATGCGTCCTCTATAAAACTGAACTTTTGTATCAATAAACTAAACACTAAATAAATTTTACAATATGACAGATTTTCAATAATATAAAAGTATGACCTTTAAATAATTATATTGTCAGAAAAATCCTGTATAACATCATAAGTATTTATTAGTTATTATTTATTAGTTGTATTATCCATATGATCAAGATACTCATATACTGTTCAAAATATTAACACGTAAACGGTTATATTCATTTGTGTTGTATACCTCTTTCCCAAAACGTTCCATCGCACAAAATTTTTGTATTGCTTTGATGAAAAGATAGATACGCACGTTCTACTTCGCTTTCACTCTATTTCTAGGAAAATTGGACATGGGGCACTGGGAAATGATAAGACGAATTATTTAAATAAATTCTCTTTATTTACAACAGGTTCCTGAGCAAAGACATTGCAATAACTTTAATATAAAAAGTTGTGTTGTGTAAAATTCTAACATACAAAAAATTAAAATCGTTTAAATAGATTTATAATTCAAACCGTATGATCAGGCTGTTTAATATTCAAGTTGCCTGAATTGTTCATATTTTTAAATTTTGAGTAAAATAATAATTAAAAATAAATAAATTAATATATTCGGAGCTTCAATTTTCTTGGATAAGTATAAAATTTAAACATATAACGTTAGTCGTACAATAAAATATAACTGTCAGTGTGATAAAACTGAAAAGTGACAAATTGACTCGAATTATAAAATCGATTGATCATACAAGTGACTACTTTTTTGTGCTATATAGTTGTTATCGATTTGAATTAATAAATAATATGATTATTCGAGTACCAAATCGAATATTACACTTCCTTATAAGAATTAAATTGATAATTCAACAATCTACAGAATGTATCATATAGATGGATTTTAGAATACAGTAAAAATTAAACATGTTGATAAACAATATATTAATAATTATACAATAACGATAACTGTGTTTTTAGATTAACAATTATTACCTACTGTAAGATAACAGATCAACCATGAAACATTGCTGATTAATCTGTCAATGGTTGTTAGACATTTAAATTACAGTGGGGTTTCTATGTATTAATATTAACAAATAATGTATTCACATTATTACCGTTATTTCATAATTTCTGGTGATAATTGTAATTCAATTCCTTCTTGCAAATATTGGATTTAATATTATAAATAGATCTCTATATTACAACAATTAAAATTATCAAACAATAAATGTATCTTGCAATAAATTAAAAAAATCATGTTTAAAAGTAGTACTAAAAATTCCAATGTAATAAATCACATTCAAAAACTGCACATATATCACAATAAATCAAATAATTTGTGATGTATATTTGAATTTCGAATTAATTTTAAATAATACATAAAATATTCAAGGTGCTTTGCTTGTAAGTAAACCTGCGACTTGGTGTTATCTAATGATCCACAAAACAACACAAAAAGGTCCAAATTGATATCACGAATAAAAGGAAATAAAAAAAGATGATTAAAAGTAACTAGCTAAAAATAAGTACAGTAAATAATAAATGTACACTAAAATTACATCGTTAAAATGTATAAATAATAGGAATCAATGACAAAAAAAATATAAAATATAATGTATAAAGGCTACAATATAAAAAGAAAATAATGCGAAATGGCACCAAACTTATGTGCAACGTAAAGCTTAAAAAATAACTTTATTTTGGCAAGCGAATATTGAACTTGACTCCGCTAATTTTTTTTTTTTTCCAAATTACAAACACTATTATTATTAATAACTTGAACATTCCCTCAAATTTAAGTCTCAGTATCAGTCAATGATGATATTTAGTTTCAAAAAGAAAACATACTTAAATCTATATTTGGTTAGTCGTATTTATAATTTCCTATCTTTTGCTTTATACAGTAACGTCAGTCAAAATTCTAACTATATTTTTAATAATTTTTAAAGTTTATTTACACAATATTTAATCTAATCATTTTAACTACAAAAAACCTCTACCGTAACGATAGCTAAAACTAGTGTAAGTTAAAGGATATTTTTCTAGCTTTACGTTTCGTTGTGTTAAATATGCACTATAAAAAATCAACTAAAAAGTCATAAACTACAGTTATGTTCTTACCGTATTTAATACTTAAACCAACATATATAATAACTAAATATTTAATGTAAAAAGTTATATGGGCAACCGCTAAAAACTATAGTCGATTGGCCGATTAGGCGTAACGGTAATTGGCTTAAAAATAAAAATTGTTTTTTGATTTTGCTTAGCGGAGTGAAATTCGGTTCATGTATCTTTCTGATTCCATTTTATTTGTCTGAAAATAAAACCACCATTGAAAAAATATACGAACGATTTACATTTATGTTTTGACAAATGAGGAAGGTGTTATGTTGAGTTTGAAATGGTGTTCTATAATTTAAGCAATAAAATAGACATATACAGGGTAATTCATGAGGAAATGTCAATAATTCAGGTACGTATTCAGAACACAAAAATAAACATAAATGTCTATATAAATATGTGTCCGCAAGACCTTCGATTTTAAGGCAGGGTGTTAAAGCTATATTTTTTTAATAAAATATTTGATAATAAAATGTGTTAACCCTTCACTCCAAACCTTTAGTAATAGTGCCAAGATGGGTTTAAATTTATTATTTTCAATAAATAGGAATGAGTAACTGACAACATAGCAAACTTAAAACTTTGAAACAAAAGATCATATGTATCGAAATTGTTTCAATCCAAATATCTCGAGAATGGTTACTCATACCAACTTTTGATAAGAATATCTTTTTGACATATACAGCGTGTCCCACTTAAGCTGGATACAAGGATACAATATATCTTGGTTGTTTGTTAAGCGATCTTTTTCATTTTTGGCAGGAGGCTGTATCGCTATAAGATGTGCATTTTGCCCAGGGTAAGAAATGCGATACCTACGTACGTTTTAATGGGGTTTGATATTTTTCGAGTCAAGAGTAAACTACCCTTAGGTCAGTATTTATTTCAAATTTGATAAATTATATTGAATCCTCCTTACCTAAGATACTTAAGTTCTAATTTTATAAATATTGATACAGGGTGTGTCACTAAAATAAGACATTTTCATTTTTATTGCTATTTTTTTATGTACTTACGACGCCACTGGATAAACAAACAACTGATTTATTATCAATAACCAATTATATCCAATTATCAATTAATAATCGATTTAAGTTTGGTTGAAGATGGTCGAAGATGTTGACTTTTAGTTCGTTACAGTTTTATAAATCTTTGTTTAGAGCATATTTTTCAAAGTATGAAGAACTTGCGGACATATATTTATATAAACTTTTCTATTTATTTTTAAGTACAAAATATGTATCTAAAGTATTGACATTTCCTCATGAATCACCCTATATAATACACCATACATCATACATATTAGATATATCTCAAATCTAACGCGTACTACCTTATATTCTATAAAACAATTTAGACTTACCGAATCTTTTGTACTTGAGCTACATTTATTCCAGAATATCCTAGTAGGCTTAAGCCCCACTGCGCACTCTCAATTCATAGTTCATCCTAAGCCAGCCCAACGCATGAAATCTGGCAACGCGCGAACAGCAACATCGCGTGCATAAGCTTTGACGCGCAAATTTCTATCTTCAGTTAACAAGACCACATCTCTTACCAAATGTCGGGGTTCACCTAGAACATTAAATATATTATGTTGTTTTTAAATACATATATATCATATACAAATATAATTCCCCCCAGCTAACAATGTTATAGACTATTCCTCGCTCGTTCAACGTTACGTCATCATTATCTAATATTTGTTTTAGGGTGTGATAAGATTAATTCATAATGTTAAGCACGTTCCAAAATTAGACACAGACTTTAGCATCATCAGCTGAATAGTAACTAATAATTTTTTTATTAAATTATAGCAAAAATTGCATCAGCAATTTGTACAAAAAACAGACAGTGGCGAAGATTGTAAAGTAGTTTTGGTTTGGTTAGGTTAGGTTAATACTAACGTACCATAATAAAGGCACCAAAGAAAATCTATTTGAAACAAAAATGTACGAATGATATGAAAATATACTTACCCTCCACAACTTCCGGTTGATTCATATGATTCTTGCAAAGGACTAAAGCAGTAGTTAAAATTTTATCGTCGTTCGTAATAGTACTATCCCACGTAGCGTCATCTTCTGTACTAAAGGTGGTAGAAGCCAACACAGCTCCACGAGTAGTGACGCATTTGACAGACGGATGGCGTTTTTTCAAAAAATCTAAGGCTAGGCGGGATGCTTGAGCAACTTTTTGGGCATGCTCCGCGTTGGGAACGGACAATCCTCGTACTTTGGTTGAGGGTGTTCCTTTACTTAAACCTTCCAGCTCACTGAGCACTGAAAAGAAGTATGACATAAGAAAAACTAAACATACTATATGTGGCGTCAAGAAATAAGATCGTTAAAAACAAACTTGAAGAATTCTAGCATATACGGTAACCTCTACGCTACCGGATATAAGAATAATCCTGGTACATATACAGAGAAGACCAGGCTACTAGTAACATAGCAAGTTGCCGGACGAATTTACGTTTATCTGATTTGCGTTTGTACTTGAGATTCACTGCCGGCTAGTCGGCTGGTCAGGCAGTACGCAGTTGCAGTTGTGCTTGGACGGGTCGGTCGTGACAGACTAGGAATACAACGCGAGGAGTGCCGAGTATTTATTATTTTCATTTTAAGTGTTTACCTTCACTTAAGATAATATTTAGAATAAAAATACATAAATATTTATTATTTGAGTGTGTTTACAAGCCAAAACTAAAAATAAATAAATTCTCTAAACCCAAAAAAAAACTAAAATATTATAACAAGTGTTCAAAAAGACCATCTTCTTGTGCTAGACTAGGCGGTCGTAAAATCCCCGTCTGACATTGATTCCCGTCGACCAAACCAAAATCCCCGTCGACCAAACCAAACCAAACACATTAGAGCAAATAGTTTGGAAAGCCTCTCGTATTTTTACTTGAAGCTCATCCAGATTATTAGCCCTATTATGACCATACACTTTGGATTTTACATAACCCCACAAAAAGAAATCATTGGGAGAAAGATGTGGTGTTCTAGCGGGCCACAAAATAGTTCCATTTCCACTAATTAAACGGTTGGGAAAAAAATTGTTCAAATATTCTTGAACAATACGGGCATTGTGGGCAGGGCAACCACCTCAGCAATTTGATTACTTGAAAACGTGGGATTTTGATCCGCGGTAGCACAAATGAACACTTACTTTAACTCCTGTTCTTCATTAATCAACACATCAGGCTTTTTGTGTTTTTGTGGGGACACGCACCCATGTGTTTCAAAATTATTAATAACTCTCGATATAGTAGAGGTAAAGATGGAATTGGCCTGTTTACAAAAGTTTGTGGAAAAATTGTTTGTATATCCCGATAAGACCTATTTTGTAAATACCATTTTACAATTTGAATTTTCTCACAAACTTCGTAAACATCCGTTTAAAAATAAATTTTACACGAAAACTGTCGCGAGAATCTATGTATTCGTTTGGGCTATTAAAACACGAATAAATACAAATTCTGAAACATTCTTATCACATATCTACCTATTTTTATTTTATAGCATTTTTTCGCCTGCTTTTTATCCGGCGGACGGGTATAGGTTAATTCGTCCGGTTCTGCCTATGTTACTACTACGGTGGTTCGGTCTGTATGTAATATAATAATACATTAAGTAACTATCCATTAAATTAATAATAATACATGTGAGTTTGTTATAATACTAGATAGTCTCTTCAAGATCTTCTAAATCTAATTCTAAATAATGAATTGTTAGTAAAATATAAAGCCTTGTATTGTGAGGTGCATAATAAACAATCAATAGTAAAAAAGAAATAAAAAAGTTAAATGGAACAACAATAAAATATACTATACAAATTACAAACAGAAAATAAAATAAATGATTTTATCCATCACAATATGTCACATAATTGCAACTGTTCATAGCCACTGGTAGTAATGATTTAATTTGTCATGGCCAAGCATCTAAGAAACCGAGATGATGACTATGCAAAATAAAATATCACGATGTCACCGTTAAGACACCAACCGTTCGGTTACTGGGAATATACAACTTACCCACGATAGGCACCATGACAGTGTATGTATGAGATTTCGCGATATTCTGTATGCTCGTCATGTGGTCGATGAAACAATTGGTGTCTGGTACAAGATATTTCGGTCGAATCTCTAGATGGACGCTGACCACTGATTGGCTTAAGATTTTCTGAAACATAAAACGCACAATTAGTATGGGATTAGAAAACATATGCTAGTGTTATGTTTAAAAGAAAACTAAGAAAGAAGAATACTATATAAAAACTAGAATAACCGGCCACGCGTTGCTGTGGCTAAGGTCAGTGATGGTTTGGTTTGGTACCCAGTATATTAAAATTTGGGCAAATACCCAAGTTTTTATACCGGGTATATACCCAAAGGATCAATAAATAGTATATTGGATTTGGGTAAATACGATTATACCCAGTATATACCCAGTCTTACTCACGTTTTTAATTTAAGGTATTCTAACAATTTTTTGTTAAATTAAAATTATTGAATTACTAATATCACTATTTAAAAATAGAGGTTAATGTAGAAGGGTGATATGTAAATTTAGGGTTATATGTATTTTTAATGCCACATTACAATAAAATAAAAATAAAAAATTTTATCAAAAAAGAGGTATTGGGGTGGACCACCCTTTTCACTTAGGGGTATAAGAATAGATAACAACCTATTCTCAGACCTAGAGTATACATATAAAATTTCGTCAAAATCGGTCAAGCCGTTTCGGAGAAATGTTAAAAGGGCGAAAATTTAGGGTTGTATGTATTTTTTATTTCCACATCATAAAAAATAAATAAAAATAAAAATGTTGCCCAAAAAGTAAAAAAAATGGGTATAATAAAACACCCTTATCACTTAGAGGTATAAAAAATAGATAACAATCTATTCTCAGACCTACTGAATATACATATCAAATTTCATCAAAATCGGTTAAGCCGTTTCGGAGGAGTACGGTAACTAGAACTGTGACACAAGAATTTTATATATTAGATAGTTTCGTTAAAAAGAAAATCAAGCATCGTTAAAAAGAAAATCAGCAAAAGAAAATCAAAAGCATCATTGAAATCTATTTTTGCCAGTTTTGTTTGACTAGTGTCTTGACAATTTTGAATGTAGATCATTGACAATGATATAGGACAGCGGTTTGGATTCCGCGTAAACAAAGTAGGTCCCGTCCAGATTAGCCCTAGCAGCAAAATAGAGACGTTAAGTTAATTTATTTAGATTTAGTCATACAAATTCGAAAATTGTTAATATTTCTTCTACTTCATAGACTGCCTTATCTGAACTAAAATTAACTTTTGTACTTCTTTACATGTAAAAATTAAATAAATACATATTCATTACGTCTGAAATGGTTATAACAGTAACAGCGTACACAATTTGATTTATTGGTGTTTGTATACTGGTAGTCGAGTAATTAGCAGCCTGAGAAATGTCAAAATACTCATTCATAAATATGTTAAAGTGTAAAGAGGTATGCGCACCGTAAACATTTCCCATATTTTCTACATTGTAGAATGGAGGTTGAAATTGGCACTGGGGCCTTTGAATAGGTTTAAACATAAAGGTTGATAATTTGTACGTACGTTGTTAGTCATGGATAATTTATGTACCGCGCAAAAAGATTTGTTATGTTGAGAGAATGTAAGGTGTTTGACCATAGGAAATATACAATCCCACGAGGAAAATATTAAGAGATTATTTTAAACTGGTCATTCCAAGAAGGGCAATGCTCAGACTAATTATAGTTCTTGAATACTATTCTGAACTAAAAGGACATACATATATAAATAATATTATTGATTGGTCAGTTATCTTTTAATGTATCCCATTTCCAAGTTTGTTGTATTTTGAGTGAAATTAAAAAAACTTTTTTTTTGACGATCTTAATAGCCTACCATACCTATTGGTATGGTCGGCTAAAAATATATAGTATGCTACTTCTAAATCAAACTAAAATCCTTAGTTAAATATTTTAGACCTAATGTTATTTTATTGTCTTTTTCCAGAAAGAAACAAACCGAACGAAAAAGAAAAGAGGTATACGCAATAATAGCGTAAAAAATACGGAACATCGTTTCCCCCGAGAGGGTACCACAACGCCGGCTAATCAGCGACGGGCGACAATGGTTCCCGGTGATTTATCGGCCTGCGAGCGCCGTACGTTATTCGAGTTAATCGCAGGAATGCGGTGGCGGCGGCAGAGGAGGCGGCAGCGAGAACTGCCACCGGCGGCATGTCGCGGACCCTGTTTGCCGTCGACGCTCCTAGATTGACGGCACCGCAAATTTGCAAATGGTCTCGGTAAATTCATCTAGGCAAAACTACAAAATGCAAACTCGATTAAAGAAACTGTGTTGGCAATAAACGATATTAATGTAGTTTAAAGTAAGTTGCATGACTGTCTGATCTAATCAATGGGAGGAGAGCAGTCTAGCAATGGAGGTCATTCTAGACCTAACACTGCACATTGTCATAGGTAGATATGTAAATGCAACAATGATTAGAATGGTCATTGATGGAAACAGTACTAGGAGAAAAGTCAGCTCAGGAGTTTGGAACACCCTAAAAATGAAAATTCCACGCCTCAAGTCCCAGTGGATGACATACAAGAATGTACGACTTTGAGAAATACCTCACTGTAGAGCAATAAAAATAATTGGAAGAGAGAAACGTTTGCTCAGACCATACCATAACGTGGTATACTGATGCTTCCAAAACCAAAGCAGGAAAAGGAACAAATATATTTGGCCGAAAACTGAACACTTCAGTCCAATACTCGGACAACGCACCAGAGATTTTGGATAATCTTGCACCAAGTACAAGCAGATTTTGGATAATCTGCATTTCAGCTTTATTTTGACGTTCAGATATTTATCGCCAACGACAAAAGACTGAGTGATTTGACAGTGTGATTGAATTTAAGATTTTTCCTAGGTGCTATAACATTTAGGATTAAATTTTGCTTCACCTGCTTCATGGCGAGCCGCTACTGGCTTACAGGCCTTTGACAACAGTCGCGCAAAAAATTTCACAGAAGCGGCCAAATTAGAACAAGGTATTTAAGTCTATTTTTCTTCCTAAGATATTTTCTGTTAATTTCCCATCTGGCTCCTCTTCATTAATCTTTCAACTAATATAAAGACTTGGCGAAGATTAATTGGTGTATTATCTGCCATTCATTAAAAATAAATCAAATTTTTAAACTCCATTATTATTAATCCTATTAATAATAAATAAAAATGTTCCTAAATTGTGTGGTACAGCGATTAAGCTTTTCTTAAAACCAACATGCAAAATGAAAAAAACTAAAAAGTCGGTAAAAAAAGTATTTGGAAATAAAAATTTTAAAAGGTAATGGTATCAAGAAATGCCTTAAAATGATTCTAGAATATTTTAAATAATTCTAAGTAACTTATGGCCTGACTATAAATATCAAGGTGTAAATTTTCAAAGTGGTAACTATCTATATTTCTGAGTATCTGAACTAAACCAGTCAAGGTCCTATATTGTTCAATACAATACAATGTCGTGGGTTTGGTAAGTAGAAAAAAGTATCGCACGTAGGTTACTTTACACGAATTCCAGTGTTACAAGACGATGTCGTCCATTTTTCCTTTATCGTTATCGCGAAAGAATCTCGCGTCTTTAGGTCAAAAGCAAATGCGCCAACGCACGCACCATTGGCGACTATTGTGACCTTCCGTTGACGGGATCATTATTTTATTCTAGACTTTTCGTAGAAACTTACACAAAAGCTACTAAATTTACTTTCACGAATTTTTAATATAAGTTATCAGAAAAAAAATACTTGCTTTTAAATATTAAACGGTTATTATTGATATTTTTTTTTAATAACAAAAGATAAACTGCACTTTGTGTTATGGTTAATTCACAGTGATGTTAATGCAATCGTTTGATTTAAAATATAGAAATGGAGTATGGAATATGGAAATTAAAAAACTATGCAAAAAATCACATTTCACAAATGGTTAGCAAATCTATTTACAAGTAAAAATACTAAGAAGTTGCTCCCTGTAGCATTTTATAAAAAACAATTTTAATATTTTAATAAATAAAATTATATCTACGAGAATTTGAAAATGAAATATAGTAGTTACTGTTTTCCAAACAAAATCAAAGGTAGCCTATTCAGTATTCCTTAGTAAAAAGGGTAAGTACAAAATTCCCCATATTATTTTACATATAAAATAACAGCGATCAAAGCCATCGCTGAGGCCGTTTTTTTATCATATTGTAGTATTATACTAAAAAAACGGCGTCAGGTTGGCTTGGAAATGACGATCGATGACATTTCTCATATAATTTTACATATAAAATGACAGCGATCTTCATTTCTTAGCTTATAGGCCAATCAAATTAGAGGGTTCACTTGGATAAAAAGTGTTGGAAAGCTAATTATGGTCTTGATTTGTTTAGTTGACCTGAAAGATTAGTTTCCTAGTTTTGCACGGTTGGTCGACCGCCACTGGACTCCGCTCGATTTTTGCCTACAGTTCCGAAAAATGTTTCTGAAAATGTTTCCCCATTTTCCATAAAAAAAATCTGCATTTGCCGCTGTTTGTTAGTTTTAATTGACTAAGGTGTTCATTGACGAGACAGTGTCCTGTTAAAAAAACCGTGACAATCCGAAGATTGTTCTTACTTAAATCAGGGAAAATCTTTTATTTTTCTCTGTCGTTCAATTTCTGACAAATTTCTTCGAGTGTCTTAGACCATTGAAGGATTCTCATTCCAGGTTACGGACAGAGTCTTCCAGGTTCTTGAGTTCTGCTTTAAGTTGGTTTACACTTTGGAAGTAGAACGGTCCAGTTAGAGTATTCGCTCCTTTTCTAACCTAAGATTGTTTGCTTGTTCATGGATTTCTATCCTTTGGTGAGCGGGCACCTAGAGTAGGAGGAATTTATTTTCTTTGCTTTCGGCCTGGTTAAGCTGCACTTCATCATTAAGCAGGAGCTCGAAATTGGTTTCCGAGTTAACCACCAAAAATTCGGTTTCCTTAAAACTGATTTTTGATCCCCATCTTTCATATCGTCGGTGAAATGTGATAAACTGTTAACTCCATTATTCCTAATTTTACAGGAGAGCAAAAAAACGGTACAAAAAAAGATGTACACATGTAGGAAGTATATTCAT